TCTAAAACATCATATAAATTAAAATTCTTTAATTTGTTTACTTTTTGAAAACTCAAATTTTCGCAGACACATTATCAGAATATATTCTGTTAATTAATCAGTTTCGAATAAAATAATAGCGTTATTGAAAATTATTAATGATATACCGACAATGGATATTAATTTTAAAGAAAAATTTAGTAACTTATAATTTACTGAGAAAGATAAAAATTACACAACATTTAAAACATAAAAGTTCAACTTTTAAGAATGTACAGTTATTAAGTTATTAGAAATTTTATTTTCTTCAAGTAACACACTTTTAAATGGAGCCTAACATTCTTCTGTTAAGTATTTGTACACTTTTTGTGTTTACTATGTCTGTGCAGCAGGTATAAATAAACCGAAAATGTATCAAGTGGTCAGTCAGTCTAAGCAGTCCATGTGATGATACAAGTAGCAGCCAAATGTAACAGTTGAAGTTGGCAAGAAATCTTCCTGTGTCTAGACTATTCTTTGTTGTATGAAAAGTTTCATCATAAGAAACTGGACTAAAAAAAGTTTTTGTAAATCACTGCAACTATTTCTGGAAATTAAAAACTTTGGATTTACACTTTATCTGCTTTCTACTTTTCCTTTCCTTTTTATTTGTAAATGAGTTGAATGTTTCTACAAGACAAAAATTCCCTCCCCTTCAACCATTTGTAGGTGACACACCAGCTTGGAAAGCTCTAATTTAGTGCTAAAAAATGGTTTATTTGGGAAAGAAAGTTGACTTATTTCTTAGTAGGAAAAAATAAAAAATAAAAATAAAAAAAATGAAGTTAAAATTCTCTTGAAAAAGAACGACTTAGAACTGAACTTCAAAACTGACAAGGAGAGTGGGGTGGGTAACAGTTTTCATCTACCTACTGCCATGTCGTTATAATAGAGTGATATATACAGGTACTCTTTCACATTTTTTTTTCTTTTGGAGCCATCATATGAAGAAATACTTTTGTTTGTTTAGGTATCTAATTATAGGAGATTGCAGGCTTTCCTGCTTTTAACAAAGGTATTTATTTAAAGTGAATATAAACAGCCTCAGTTGGAATTCAAATTTAGTTCACTAATTGCTTTCTAGGAAGGTAAGTTATATAATTCCATGTTTCTGTATATATCATTGACAAAGGTTTTTTTTTCCCCAATATCTCCCAAAATGATCATGACTGCTAATCATATCCTCTCATGACCATATGTCCTTGTGCTAAACCTATTATTTTTAACAATCAAATATTAACTCTTGTTAATAATTTGTAGCTGATTACATTGAAAATAATCTCCTGCTGTCAGCAGCAGTTGTTCTTTTAATTGTTTATTATTTTTTAGTTAAAAAAAAAAAAATATATCAGTGTTTGTTCTGAAGAAGTTCAAGGGAGACAACTTTTAGGAATTTATTTTTTTTATTTTTTATTTTTTATTTTTATAAATTATATTTTAATTGACTGAGGACTGATGGAGAGATAGTCTTGATAGAATCAATAACAAATGTGTCTCAGAGTCAAAGACTATTCTATAAATTAATATATAATCTTATTTTTTTTTTTTAATTCAAAACCATTAGGACAACATTTTGCTTCTTCCAATTGAGTAAAATCCTTTATGATATCAGCTGAAAAAAAATCATGTAATTCATCAGCTTGAACCTCTTTGTTTTGGTGGCCTTCTGAATTCCCTGTATTTGGCAAAAGAGATTGTTTTCTTATTTTTTCTGAATGGTTTCAGATGGTTTTCTTATTTTTTCTGAATGTATTGTAGATATTAGATGTAAATCCCAATTTAGTTTGTTTCGTTTTCCTTTCAAAATAAATTGCTCTTCAAATGTTTCATCCAGCGAATTCAATTTTTCATAGAAAACCAATCAATATGATTAATGAATTTTATCCATTTTTCTACAAGGTCGGATTTTCCAAGAGGAAAACAAAATATTGATACTTTTTCACTGTTAGTAACATATCCATTAGAATGGCCAAATGCAACACATTTGTTAACCATTTTTGTTAAACAAAGTATCACAACAAACTTTATAATTTAATCTTTAAATGCAATGGACTATGAGGTAGACAATTTATCTAATAGCGTTCATTTACAAAATGGGCTGTATACACAATTGAAAATTATAAAAGCAAGATAACTCACATACATTTATAATTCATGGATTAGTAAAAAAAGAAAAAAAAGTGTTAAATATGCACTTTCATGTTAAAAACATGTCTTGGGAATTGAAATAACATCTGATAAATTCTATGTAATTGTACATTGTTAATTTGCATTATAAGTCAATTATTAAAGTTACCTCCCTTTTAGATTAGCAATTTTTTAAGCAGCCATTCACATTTTTTTGTTGTTTACATTACATTGACCTGTTAGAATTCAGCTTATGTGACATGTGGGGCCATATAATACTAGTTGGCCATGACAAAACATGTAAGAAATAAGGAAGTTTTAATGAAAATGTTAGCAAAAGACTCAGAGATAGTTGAAATTTCTTGGATGTATAATGTAGAAAGAAGGCTTGGAAATTTTGACACTCATAGGACATATCAAAAGTAAAAAAAAAACCAAAAAAAAACCAGGCAGAAACAGTGTCACTCTACCTAATGAGTTTGTATAAATGTATAATAACAGAATTAGAAGGAGAGAAAGCAAAGAGATAGACATTGTTAAGAGCTACAAAAGTGTTCGGAAATTGATATGGCAGTTCAATTATAAAACGAAGTAAACAAATCACAAGTCCAAACTCAAAGATCCAGAGGCAGAAAGAAATTTCAAAATTGCAAATCCAATGTCAAAAATCCCAATACACTTAAATGGTCAGAAATCCAACACACAAGGCAACAGTCACTTGCAAACCGACAGACGAGGTAGAAAAATAAACTACTCAATTCAAGAACACAAACTGCTTTTATCGACAGAACAATTTTTTCATTGGTTGATGATTGGAGATAACAAACAATATCCAAGATGCATTTATGGCAATAACTGCAACTGACTTGTTTCTATTTTGGTTATTTTATCTTTGGTATATCATATAGAATACACGTGCCCTTTTCCTCAGTAAATGACTTTCTCTTTCCCCACTGATCTCATGATCACACTGGTGACAACCAAGGGTGGGTCTCTTAAGCCTTGTGCTTCTCAAAGGAACAACTACCATCTCCTCTCCTGATGAATTGCCTCCCAAAGAGGCAATTCATCAGGAGAAGAGACGGTAGTAGAGGACTCAAGGCATCTCTTATTTTGACCTGTCCTTCATTGTTAGAGAACTCGCTGTCGACATCACTTGTTGATATGTCTGAACCGACAAAGGGGTGCAGATCCGTCACATGGTATGACATCCCATCAACAAAAATCATGCATGGTCTTCTAATCCCAGTGAAATATCCCACTTGATATTGAGTTATACATTGGTTTTGAAGGGGTTTTACCCACACACAGTTCCCTAACCCATATGTCAATCATTCACATTCTTGTTTTGGTGGAGGTGTTTTATCAATAACAGTAAATCCCATTGGCAGGCATGGTGGAAGGTGATACATCATCTTTGGGTGTAATGTTGTGCCAATATATGACTTCCATCACTGAGCATTGTTTTCTCATTGCTCCTGAAGTATAAAGTGAAGTACAATGTTCAACTATCCCATTACTGAAGGGGACATGTACACAACAGAAACGGATATAGATTCCCCACCTGTCTAAAACTCCTTGAATGGTTTACTATGAAAGCAGTGTCATTGTCAATGAGAATTTCAGCAGGAGGTCTCCATTCAAAAAATAGGGCCTTTAAATGGTTGATACTGGTTGAATCTTGTCAATGCAGTCGTCACCAGATTGTGAATCAAGTGGGTCAATCTGCATCAGGTAATATGTACCATCATAAAGATTGATGTCCATCCCAACCTGGGTTCGCACATTGCTAACATCTAACTTTCTTCTTGGTGATCATACTGGTGATGGGTCAATGGCTGACACTCTCTACTTTTTTTGTCTATGGCCCTAACTGCTGCCTTGGACATAACAGGATGGGAAGTTGTGAAGAACCACGATTTCCCATGTCCTGAATGAACAGGGCACATGAAAAGAAGACTGGACCAGTATTGTGTGTGGCACTTTTTGCGAAAAGAATGTTTTTAAGGATTTGGGCCTTGCTTGTTTCCTTTCAACAGAATGATTTCAATATAATGATTTCATCTCTGTTAATTATCAATATCAAATTCTAAATATTTTGCTTATATTTTTTTTTTTTTATTAGATCATTTCTAGGTTTCAGAATCTCAAAAGTTTGGAGAATGAAAACTTGAAACATTTATCTTTTTCCTGTTGGCTGGAATTATCCAAGAGATGCTTATTATACAATCCAATGGGTTACTATTCTCTACTGGTCTGCACAGGGTACTATGATTTAATCAGCAACTGCTTAGACAGCAACTCTGCCATCATTTAAACAAGTAGAGGCATTCAAATATCATATTTCACATTGTCCCCTCCAAAATCATATATCTCAATTATTTATGTTTGACAGTGACTCATTCTTGGCAATCTATTTTGATATTTTTCTGACCCAGATTTACTTATGAAATAGCCAAAATGTTGAAATAATAACCAGAATTCAAACCTCATTTCATTGTTTTAGAAAATTAATTTTTTAGTCAAACACATTGTCTCTCGTGTCTGTTAATTCATGAAGTTCAATGTGGGGAGATTGGCTGGTTGTTTTTATTTAGCAGTATATCAACCTCTCTGGGTTATTTAATGCCAAAATCTAAATATTTTTACACAATTTTATTCATTTATTTATTTATTTTGAGATAATAATGGTTTTAGTGATACAAGTCTTACTAATTAGCCCATAGCTTGGGGGGGGGAGAGAAGAAATATCTCTCCCATGGGTATCTGCATGTAAGTGAATATAATGAACTAGAATTGGAATTCAGCTCCACAATTAACAATTTTGAGATATTATCCATTACGCCAACTGAAACTGATATTCCCAAGTAGTTACCCATCTAGGTACTGACCAGGCTTGACATTGCTTAACTTCGGTGACCGTATGGGAACCAGAGGTGCAGCTTGATGTGGTGGTAAGCATTGTAGGGAGAGGTGTGGCCCATGTGGCTTTTATGTCCAAGTATTACACTGGGTTTTACTAAGTTTTCCCATAGTCATTTCTGAATTCAAATCCAATTCAATTCAATTCCCAAATCATTTATTGAATGTACTTAATTTTCAGAATTAATTTTTGCACATTATTGTTTCTCTAGACACAATGAATAAAACTACCTTTCTTTTAATAACCTTCCTTCATTTCTATGAAGAAGATAAAATGATAATCTGTCTTGGTCGTGCTTTGGAAAAATTATTAAACCATAGATTATAAGGGGATTATTTCAGGAGTCACAATTGGCAAGGAGTTGTTTTGTTTGATGAATTCTTAAATTTCTGTGTTTTATTCATCAATGTCCAAACACCTTTTCTGTGTTTATGAGGTCCTTTTAAAACAAGTAAAATATCTAAATGATTTATTCCAGTGATTCTCAACCGATGTGCCATGAAAAATTGTCATGACATATATATATATATATATATATATATATATATATATATATATATATATTGGGTGGGAAAATAGTAATGTTACAGAGTTAGTATTTGAAAAAATGATTAAGTATTAAACCTTTTTCAAATAATTATTTCACTGTTTTTCAATTATATTATTTTAAATACTTTGTTTTAATATTCATCTTTTAAAAAGTATTTTTATTTCTTTAATTTTACTTTTAAATTTTTTTTTTTATTTGAATAAATGAACATTTTTTTAACCATATAATTGTATTCAACATTCTTTGTTTAATTCAAAATTTTTACAAAGTTATATTGAATCATAAATTAATATTGTCAAAGTTTCAACAAATAGTTGAATAGGAACATTGAAATAAAGTTTGTGTGTATTTTTTAAATCTATGTTTTTGTTTCATAACATTTAAATGTATACCCTTTTGTTATATAGGAATAAAGTGTCACTGCCGACACTGGAATTTGAACACAGATCACCAGCGAGCAAACACAGGTGATCCCATTTTGAATAAGTAGATCACGTGATGGTGAACAAAATGTATATATGGGAATTAGTGTGGCGTCTAATTGATCACTATTTGTATACTATCTTCTATTACTATATGGATCACTATTCTCTATACTATTCACTATACGGATTATTATTTGGTGATTAGTTTTTGACTGAGTATTATTGAGCAAGTACTATTAGTGTGAGTGTTATTCAAAGGTCTCTGACACAGTATTGTTCAATGGTGTTACTATAGTTGTATCTGCAATTACAAAGTCTCTATTACAATGAGCATTTGTTGATGTTACAAAGGTGGCAATGAGTGATTGTTGACATTACAAAACCTTTAAGAATTTTGCTAAGTGTGCCGTGATATTTTCATTTGCTTCTATGTGTACTGTTGCTTAAAAAGGTTGAGAAACACTAATTTATTATAATTAAAAGTGGATCTCCTTTTTAGTGGGGGATACACATTTTATAATAAATTGAACTGGTTAGTTTTCTGAATGACCTTCCTTTAATTTCCTTTCTTTTTTTTTTCCCTGGATAAGAATGCGAGATACAATAAAAAGTGGGGAAACAGTTTTCTTTATCCAGATATTGCAGAATGAACCCTGCTATTGTCTCTGCAAATGACATTCACTGTATCCACTGTAAAATTTGCAATTATGGTAAGCTCAGTTAGAGTAATATACATATTAGTGTAGTAAAATTGCAAATGAAGGACCTTTCACCAGACAAGAGATGTAAGCACAATAAAAAAAAAAAAAGTAATAGAAATAAATGGTACTTCAAAATATTGTTCTAATACTGTTGTTTGAAACTCATGGTCCACTGCCAATTTGTACCCTTATCAATTGGAGCTGCATTGTCAGACACTGACAACCTTTCAGTTAAGCCAAACTCAATTAAATCAAATAAAATGGGGGGAAAAAAAGAAACATTCTTAACATCAGGAAGAGACAATTGAGGTTTCTAGTGCACACAATGAGGAAAGAGGATTTGGAAAATCTGATACTCACAGGAAAGATTGGAGGCAAGAGAGACAGGGGAAAATAAGGCATAACATAGCTTGAATAAATAGATGGCAGAACAGGGTTTAGGAGAAATAACAGACAATTTATCAAAAGCTACAAGAGACAGGAAGTTGGAATGAGCCATGATTGCCTATATCCTGAGGGGATATAGTACATAAAGAAGTGGTGTATTTAGTCATTTGAACCTGAATCTAGTTCAAACTGTGAGCAAGAAATCAAAAGATGTTAAAAGTGATATATCATAGGTCCCTTTTTGTTGTTTACAAACACCATAGTCTGAGAAGTTTGGGCACTGTCAGGATCGTTCCAGACAATGTTTATTGATAGTAGTATTGCTCAAGACTTGTTTGTCTTTGCAAATCATTTATAAATCATGGTTTATCAAGAAACAAATCATTAGTAAATTGGCACCAAAAGACTACTCAAATTTGTTACAGGTTTTGGCAAGTCATTCAATAAAGTCAGTTTATCAAAGCAACCAGATATTTATATTATTTATTTTGATGAAGTTGCCAAAAGAGTCAAGAGAATAGACCTTAATTCCCAATTCATGGGATATGTAAGGGTGAATAAAGTGATGACTGATTTTAAGAATTCACACAAAAGTCTAGATATTGCAAATAATTTGAGAGGAGTCATGATGGAGTAATGGATAGTGGCTCAAATTGAGGAATCTGAGAGCTGAGTTCAAATTCCAGTCAAATCCATTACATTCACTTATATGCTAATAACCTTGGGAAAAGTATGAATCCTCTTCTTCTCGCTCCAGTTATGAGAAAATAGCAGGACTGACTGAGTTCTATAGGCTTGGATGGCAACTGGTCTACTGCAGAAAGAAATGGCAACCTACTGTGGGGAAAAAATCTGCCTCATCAATCATGTATTGAAAGATACATGATTGCCTAAGTGTGTATCATTCATGGCACATAACTGACTGATCACTTATATAATATAATATTTTTCTGAGTTGGCATGTAAGGGATAAGCTCTGAACATAGTATACTGTTGGAATTTAGAATAATCAATCAGAAAATGAGGTTAATCAAACACAAAATAAAACAAGGATCCTGAATGGTTAAAGAAAGGGTCAAACACTGTCCCTATAAGGATCATATGATCCTGGCTATATAAATGCTAAATTCAAAGACCTATTCTCTTTTTCTTCTACCCTGTTAATCAGGTAGCATGCACCAACCCTTCACCACGAGCTCAGTCAGTGATTTCAAGTTATAGAGGAATGGTGTCAGCAACCTCAAGAGAAATTACTACCTAAATAAGTTAGTCAAGCACTGGAAGGGATTTCTGTTTCAACAAGGACTGTTCCTGAGATAACGGGACAATTTTCACCTAATCTAAGTTTACAGATGCACATTGTCTGCAACCACTTCTTTTTTTTTTTTTTTACTTATTTCTTTTTTTTTTTTATTTGTATATTGTATATTTTGTGTTTCTCTCTCTTCAAAAGCTTCTGACCAGTTCCTTTAAATACTTGAGGCCTTAGCATTTACCATCCATAATCTTGGGGTTGTATCTTGATATAATATCGAGGATATAATCATTATAATACACTTGAGGAATTTTTTTTATTTCTGTTTTTTAAAATTGAGAATCACTTTTCAAGAGAACTACATATGATTTTTTTTTGTTCCATTCTGAGGAGATTCAAATGTCCATTATTGATATTAGTGAATCTTCTAACCACTTTATTTGTTACATAACTTAGCCAAAATATAATTTTATATCTTTGAAAATGCTAGGAAATCTGATATCTGCTGAAGTTTCAATTTCATTTCGCTATTATCTGTATTTGATCTGCAGATATTTGATAACTCCTTTTTATGATATGTATCAATTTGTTTATATATTCAATTATGTCTAAATGATGTTTTCTTCATTATTTAGGTCAGTGTTTCCCAAAGTGGGCGACAGCATCTCTGTTATGTTGAAAGGGGGGAATGGGAGGTTTTTATTTCATTTGGGCGGAGGGGGCGGTGAACATACTCAGGTGGCAGTGGGTATGCAGCCATTTTTTTCAGATTTCAAGGTGATTTACGATTACTTCCAAGAAGCATGTTAGCCAGTAAGCACCAAAGTCAACCATCGCATTGAAAACATTGAAATAAGCTATCAAATGAACCTAGAGTAAGAGCCTTAGCCAGTAAGCACCAAAGTCAACCATCGCATTGAAAACATTGAAATAAGCTATCAAATGAACCTAGAGTAAGAGCCTTAGCCAGTAAGCACCAAAGTCAACCATCGCATTGAAAACATTGAAATAAGCTATCAAATGAACCTAGAGTAAGAGCCTTAGAGTAAGCACCAAAGTCAACCATCGCATTGAAAACATTGAAATAAGCTATCAAATGAACCTAGAGTAAGAGCCTTAGCCAAAGCACCAAAGTCAACCATCGCATTGAAAACATTGAAATAAGCTATCAAATGAACCTAGAGTAAGGGCCTTAGCCAGAAAGCACCAAAGTCAACCATCGCATTGAAAACATTGAAATAAGCTATCAAATGAACCTAGATCAAAGCACCAAAGTCAACCATCGCATTGAAAAACATTGAAATAAGCTATCAAATGAACCTAGAGTAAGAGCCTTAGTCAGTAAGCACCAAAGTCAACCATCACATTGAAAACATTGAAATAAGCTATCAAATGAACCTAGAGTAAGAGCCTTAGCCAGAAAGCACCAAAGTCAACCATCGCATTGAAAACATTGAGATAAGCTTTCAAGTAAAAGTATTTTTTAGTATTTTAATCAGTGGCATTTATAATAGCAATGAAAACAATAATAAAATCATTTTTACACTAATACCTAAGTGTCATCTTGCTATGAAAGATGAATTCAGTATAATATTCAAAATTTAATTTGATAGGAAGCGTTGACAAAAAGTTTGTGCTCAGAGGGGTCTCTGGTTGGGAAACACTGATTTAGGTGCTTATGAGTCCTTGTGAATACTATCA